CTAGCTCTCATAACTCTGACACTGTGCCCCGCCCTTTCGCAGGAGATGGTCTGACACTCAGAAATCTGTTTTAAAGGATTTCCAGTTACTGCAACAAGGTGCTTTCCAGCATCCCCTTATTTACCCTTGTCTGTGTGTGTTCACGTCTCTCGAACAAGTACCATCTCAATAATGGAAGTGGATGGTGTGTAGTGAGTGTACATGAGTTTACTTACCCTGCTCTTGTTTTGCCAAAGAGCAGCGGAGTGGCTCTATACAGGAAGCTGGAACTGGCTATATATAATTTTCAGGGCCCTACCTTGCTATAAAGGGATACGCAGAGGCACGTGCCTCCTTCTCAGTTCCTACTGCCAAAAGATTGAGAGGTGAGTTGCCACTCCACTCCATGGATTATAAGTCTGCATGGAACCCCCAAAAGCACAGGGCCGTAAGCAGTTGCTTAACAGGGTACATTCACACAGCAAGTGGTGGCTTGTGGCAGCGAGTCTCAGAGCCGCGTCTAGTGTTGCGGGGCTAAAAACAGCTGTGTACACGTTGCAGTTCAGGCTCTGAAGCCTACCCCGTCCCTCGGCTTCGGAGCCCGTGCCTGGCTGTGTACACAGCTACTTTTAGTGCCATAGCATGAGCCCAAGTCTGTAGACCCGGACTCTGAGACTCGCTGTTGCGGGCTGCCACTTGCTGTGTAGACGTACCCAGAGAGTCTTGCCACTGATTTCAATGGAGTCACTTCCAATATTTTGCAAGCTGTGAATGAGCGAGGGGAAGAAGGAAGGCAGGTGGAAAGTAAATGCCTCTGTATTGTGGCTGCAAGTGTGTTCCGATTTACTTGGCGTCCTATAGCAGCCATGGGGATGGGAACTGCACTAAGCGATGCTTTCTATTTTTGGCTGCTCTTCAAGATAACTCCTTTATTCCACTTTGCAAGCTTAGCCAGGGAGAGAGGCCACACTGTTTCTTCTGAGCATCAGCTGATCCATGGTGATAACCGGTTGGGAGAGGAAGTTGCCAGATGCACTCCATGGGTCTTTTGAGATTATAGAAAAGCAGATACAGTCAAATGAACAGCTCCCAAATCAGAGGCTAATACACCAGCAAAAAACAAGAGTAAAAGCAACTGCTTTTTTAACTGCATCCCATTTGCTTTACCAGGTTACCAGCTAAGTGATAGCAGCGGGACAGAGGAATTAAAACGTGTAGGCAAGGGAGAAATGAACTGTTCTCCGCTCGAATTTGAAATCGACTGTAGAGTCAATGAGACCTGTTCTGTACTCTGTCACCCCATTGTACATTTCCTGGAATTGTGCACCTGCCTATTTCAGGGCTGACGTTGGCACAGTGGTGGGTTCTGAATGTTAAATGATACCACATCTGAGATATATGCAAATTAATCTATTTGTACTTTAATTTAAACAGATAGAATTTGTATTGAGGGCCAATCTTCAGCTGTGCTTGACACAACTAGAGGGGCTGGGAAGGTGGCGGTAAGTCAGCTTTATGGATCCCCAATGAGTAGCCGCAAGGCTGCTCTAGGATGCCCTGACTGGTAGCAGCCCCCCAGAGTCTGTTCCTCCCTCTGGGGATAACCAGAATGGCTTAGTGCTCTAGTCATGCCCGTGATGTGCTCCCTGCACTGCGGGTGGAGTATGGCTTAGAACTGCTCTGGCTAGACACCTCCACCTACCCCACAGGAATTCGCAGCCAACTTGTTGAACCGGCTTCCAGACGGCTTTGCACTGCTAGAGAAGCACAAACCTTGCAGACCACGGGTCGGTATCTGGCCCACTATGTTCCATTAATGTGAGGAATCAAGTTTGATCCAGGAGGATTACATTTCAAGCATGAAAATTCAGGAATAAAGCTTCTCTTTCATCTTCAGTGAGATGCTGTCCAGATTATGGCCATATGCATGAAGTATTCTTCATCTTTTGTTGCTAGTAGCACATGAGATTGTTAGCACTGACAGGGATTTTTATAAAATTATTTGCTTTATGCAATGTATTATGTTTAACTTTTTCTGCTTGGATTAGTTTGGACAGTGAAATGAGGGAGGTCAGTTTTATTTTGGGTTTCTCATGAGTTTCGCTTCCTAGTTTTGTGACATTAGTGTAGGTTTGCGATACTGCAGGGGATGTTCACGTTCCTCCTAAACCTGTTTTCGCTTCACTTGGAGTTGGTGGGGAGGGAGGAATCATGAAGATGTTACTATTCTTAGACTCATTCCTGAAGTCTTTATTCAGGCATCTCTTTCCCCCCCTCCCCCCCCACACACACACACACTTGGGCTGCAGTCCTGACCTGCTGCACCCATCTGTTGTTCCAGACCGACTGCCCAATCCGGCTCTGCTAATGCACCTCAGTCCTGACCTGCCGCGCCACCCAGTAGTCCAGCCCTGAGCTTCTCCGACAGCACAGGCCAGCTCATTTCAGTTTTGATCTGTCCCCAGTGCAGATGTGAAGGGCCCCTGCCCTGCTTTTGGTCCTGTGCCCCTTTGTAACGCCACAGAATCTAGCTGGAGTATTCCACCTGGGAAGCTGTCGTCGCTGAGGACTGTTCCTCTATATCAGTGGTTTTCAATCTTTTTCATTTGCGGACCCCTAAAAAATTTCAAGTGGAGGTGCGAACCCCTTTGGAAATCTTAGACATAGTCTGCGGATGCTCAGGGGTCCGCAGACCATAGGTTGAAAACCACTGCTCTGTGTTAAAACTGGTTTCGATCTTTGTGTTTCATTCAGTTTAGATTGTAAACTCTTTGTTCAGTTTATACAGCAGCCTGCACAAGGGGGGCTAGCCCAGGATGGGGCTCCAGGCACTACTGCAGTACAAATAATAATAATTAATACTGCCCTTGGATTCCTGGCATGTTACCAATGAGACTCTCTAATGGGGGAAAAATGAAGTGACCTGAATATTGTTTTTCTTTTTTACTTTTTTTCATTTGTAATTAATTGTCCATGGACCCACAAAGTAATTCATATAAAAGATACAATATGTAAAGCGAAGCATTGCCAGTCCTACAAGGCACTCCATTAACTTAGCCTACTGTGGTTTGAAGCCTGCAAGATCCATACAGGAATCTGAAGAATACAATAGAAACTCAAGAACATATTGGTATGACAAAATCATGCTCCTTAAAGTTGGCCTGCAAAAGAAATTAAACTCTTGTGTTTCTGTCCTTGTTTGGCTTCCTTTTTATGTATAAAACCTGCAAGCTTGGGGGAGGTGGGGTGGCGGGAGGTAAAGTTATGCCTGTTTTTTTTACAGTAAGAAGATCAAGTCTGGTCTTTCCTGTTTTTTCTGGAAGACTCACTGGAAGGATCAAATGTGTACTAGAGAGAAGCTTGCTTAGCCCTTAATTAAAGAGGTGGAGGGGTGTTTGAATCTTTAACAAAGATCTCTTTTTTTTTTTTTTTCCCCCAAATGTTTTTCAAGTGTTTGAGTTAGGTGTTGACAAAATCAAACAAAAGTTAAAGACTTTCAGGTAGTATGACTAGTACGCCTTCCCCTCTCATGTTAGCTCTTAACATCCTGTAGCTTATTTTTCCAGGTCGTCACTGCAGAAGAATCAGAAGCGATGTTTTGCCCACCACTTCCTCACTTGTGGGTGTTTATTAAATTAGGTCTATTTGTGGCCTGATTTTCAACGGTGCTGAACGCCTGCAGCTCCCAGGGTCTTCAGCTGGATTAATGTCTGCTGAGATGCCAGGCCACTGACCTCTGTACGATGGTGTCAGTGGGAGATACATCCACTTACACCAGGACTGAATTTGATCCTTGTATTCCTAACTGGCTGTATTGGGCAACAATGCAATTGGAAGCGACGTTAGGAGGAATTTTGATAGTCCACCTCACAGTTTATCCCAGAATCAGATTTCCCACAGTAATTGACAAGGGGTCTTGCTGCAGATCTTGGATCAGTTTCAGAATAGCTCTGCAGAGTTCAGAAACTTCTGATAATCTTTTCTGGTGTGTCATTTCTCTCTGATAGGATCTCCTCTAGGTACAGCATGACTCTGTTAACCTCCTGAACATACAGTAGTTCAGTGCATGGCCAGACATTATCTTTGAAGGTACCATGCAGTATATTCAAATAAGTCTCACAGTATTTCTGCAGTAGACATTGAAGCCATAGTAGAATCTCAGAGTTATGAACACCGGGAATGGAAGTTGTTCGGAACTCTGAACAAAACAAAACGTTCTGGTTGTTCTTTTTAAAGTTTACAACTGCATATTGACTTAATACAGCTTTGAAACTTTACTATGCAGAAGAAAAATACTGCTTTCCCTTTTATTTTTTTTAGTACTTTACGTTTAACAGAGTACTGTATCTGCTTCTTTTTCTTTCTTTCTTTCTTTTGGTCTCTGCTACTGCCTGATTGCATACTTCTGGTTACAAATGCAGTGTGTGGTTGACTGGTCAGTTCGAAACTCTGGTGTTCGTAACTCTGAGATTCTACTGTACTTGAGATTTCAGATCATATAAAACATCACAGTTTGAAACATCAGCTTCATGTAACTCAACTCTAAGGCAATCATCGGAATATGGGGATTGCCATACTGGATTAGACCTGCAGTCCATCCAGTTCAGTATCCAGAAACCCAAAGTGGGAAGATGCTTCCAGGAAGGTCTCATCCTAATTCCTAATAGATAGAGATTGTCTTAAGCCCTAAGGCACAAGTATTTTTTATACCCTGTTCAAAATCTCTTTGTTTTGACTGTTGTGACTCTGAATGATAATAGGTACTACATAAATATGAGATATTATTAATGACTATCTGCCCAAGAGATCAGAGAATACTTTGTAAACTCAAAAATTGTTTCACCCACAATCAAATTACAGCTGCCTATGGGGTTGGAGCATGCCAGTTGTTCACAGTGCATGCCCTATGTTTTAGGACAGGAAGTGAGGGGTGGGAGCGGAACCCATATCCGGTCAAAACAAGGAGTAGGCAGAATGGTATTAGATGAGGTTGACGTTCTTCATGTTGCCTTCCTTTTTAGCACTGGGATGTGTTTCGGACAATTACAGAAGTTTTTATCCTGGTTCCTGCCCTGGTTGGCTTGAAGGGTAACCTTGAAATGACCCTGGCATCCAGACTCTCTACGGCTGTAAGTGTAAAGCTTGGGGGGGAAGGGGGGGGGGGGGTTGGGGTTGAGCAGGAAGGAATCCTTTGACCAATAGGTCCTACTTGCGCGTGTGTGCGTGTGTGCGTGTGTGTGTGTGTGAGAGACCAAGAAAGAGAGTGAAACAAAGATCCCATCCTCTTCTCTGTGTGTGTGAAACAGAGACCCCTTCCCTGCTAAGCTGAAACAAGGTGTTTCAGGCAGGGGGGAGTGTTAAATAAGGTTCATGCCCTGATTCTGCAGCTGGTTGGCTCTTAAAGGATGATTTATCCATATGTGTCCAGTTGCCAGCGTTGGAGGGTGTTGCAAAAATTGAGAGAGACAAAAGAGAACATTGGCTGTACGCAAAGTGTCTACCAGTGGTGAGCTGTGAGCTGCACTACTGAAATGTCCCTCACTATGGCCGCTGACTGTTATGGATACCGAAGCTTTTCTTCCCATCCCTGGCAGTGAGCTGTCCCAGCAGACCAGCGTGTGGATGTTCCTAAGTCCCCCCAAGACTTCTTGGGACCTTCAGTAGCTTCTGCAACTCATGGCATGATCTAGTCCCTCTGGCAGCAGCGTGACCTGTCCTTTAGGAGTCCTTTTGTTGCTTTGGGGTATGACCCTACTGCAGGTCTGCCCCTGAGACAGGCCAGGCCACAAAACCGTTTGTAAGGAATAGATAGTAACAAATGGCCCAGCTGTGCGCCGTGCACGAGGTGACAGGTTTTCTCTGCTGAGTCTGACGTGGGTTGGACTGGAATCTGAGTAGCCTGACAATGGAAGAGACTATTTGGCATCTATAGCCTGTTCCTTCCACGAGTCTTATTCTGAAGGGTGTTTTTTTTCCCTTGTGGGAAGAAGGCTGTGGGTGGTTGTTTTTTTTTTTATTGTGTCATTTCTCTTCAGTTTAAACAGCACAATCACCCCAGTGGTTTCCATCAGCAGCACCAGTAGAGATGGTCCCAGATGGTTATGGGCTCTGTCAAAGGCCACAGTCAGCCTCTCGTATCTGGAAGAAGTGGCTAAACCATGTGGCTTTTCTGAGCGTATTCCTGTCCCTTGGCAGCCCTGAGCGCCTGACGCTGTACGTCAGCGTTTTAAAGGCAGGCGCCTGAGCGGCGAGCCTGGAATTTGCACACTCGTCTGTAGCGCCTGCAGAGCTTGCACGGGGATGTGGGCGCACACGCGTGGGATCGGCTCCTGCAGACACGGTGCACGCAGCTCAGGTACCTGCCTTTGAAAGTCTGGCCCAGCGTGTCTGCTGATATCCTACCCCCCCTGCAAGAGACAAGAGCTGAACTCTGCTGCCCTTCAGAGGCTAGGGCAGGGGGATTCTCATTAATGAGAAAGGGGGAAGTGAGGAAGACTGGGGACACTGGCTAGCATGTGTCATCATGCTGACTTTAGCTTGCTCTCTCCTAGAGGGTCCAAGTGAAACCCTCTTGCTGCCAGTGCCACAAGAGCAGCCGGCCTTTCACTTTCTCTCTTGATTTCCAGGCTAACACTGGACAGATGGATGATACCCAGGAACAGTGGAAAATGGCCACCTGCAATTTAGCCCTGATTCAGGTAAGCCGCTCCACCTGGAGCTGGGAAAGGCTCCTTTCTTTTGCTAAACTGCCCTCTCAGGCTGTTCAGTCTCGGGAATTCGTACTGGGGTGGAGTGTGGAGCTCACGTCTCCTGCCAGCTGTGTCAGAAATTTATTGTTAGTGGCACAGAATCCGTCCCTATGAAAAACCTATTGATTCTAGGAGTGACGTGTTAAAATCCAGCAGTTAACCTAGAGGTTGTATGTGGTGGATCAGGGAATGTGCTTCTGTGCTGGTGGCATTTGTACTACACTATGCCTCTGCAACCCTTCCTCGTCTCCTCTCACAGCGATCAGTGGCACTTCTGCAGATGGGGAGTCCACAGCTGATGGGTAAATGCCATGACATCTGGACTTTTCAGGCCTCTGTAAGGGTTTTAAATACTTGGTTGGGATTTCTGAACCTGCATCCCATGGAGCCTTTACAGGAGGGCCCCTAAATATCGTAACAAATCTGGGGTCACCTATCACTTCATAATTATGCTGCCTACCCAGAACTTCATTGCAACAGCAAGGACAGAACTCAGAGCCTCCTGCTTCAAAAGCACAGGCCCTTTTTACTTAATCTAAAGGAGAATCTCCATTAACAATATAAGGCATATGACACACTGTGGATCCTGTAGAGGGCAATGGAGCACATACACTCTAGCCAGCTCATTACGTTCTATAGTGAGTGTTCTGATGGAATTGGGATTTTCTCTTAGAGGAAATCAGCTGGAGTTTGGCTTTCAGGGGTGCAGTTTCCTGAATGTGGGGTGGAATGATCCCCACGTCTTATTAGTGCCATGCTGGTGGTGATGAAGGGGATCGCAGTCTCCTGTGTATGTGTTCAGGGTCACTGACCCCACAGGGAACACTGCCTACCAGCTGATTTTTGCCCAACAGGTACAGGCCACTGTAGTGGGGCTGCTGGCTGCCATAGCTGCTGTCATCCTGGGAGCGATCTCAAAGGGGCACTTGGAGCTGAATCAGGCCGCAGTGCTCTGTGCGAGCAGCGTGACAACAGCATTCATAGCTGCACTCTCCCTAGGTGAGTCTCGTTAATCCCACCACACCCGGTAACTTGAGCCAGTGAGAAACCACCCTTTCCATGCACACCTGCTCTCCATGAACTGTTTGCTCCTTTCCCATCCGGGACAATGTTCAGTAGCTGACGTGAAACGATTTTGGAGTCTTGGTGGAACTTCCAGTGGTCAGGTAGCCACATCCCCAGAACGTTACTGGATTATTGAAATCACCACCACAAACTGACACCTAGGGTGGCCAAGGACTGAATGCATTGTAGAGAGAGCGCTCCCCTGGCACCTCTAGTTAGGGGACGAGGCATGCTGGTGTGATGGGGGGGAGCTTGCCCTGCTTCATCCACGCTGTACCTGTGCTGTGGAGAGAAGACTTCAGTCTCCAGGGAAAGTCCAAAAACCTCCTCATCAGCTTCCTCCTGGCACTGGCCAAGGCGGTGCCATCCGTCAGTCCAAGAGAAGGACGTTGGATGTGACTTTGGGGCCTTTTTTGGGTTCCTCATTCATGCACACATCTGCGCAGAATTCTCAAGGGCGGTGTCTACTGACTCCTTGAATGCCTTCTTGGAGCTGTGGGTGTTGTCTGTGCTCCTCCTCTCCATGTCCCTTTAAATCCCTTGTTTTGTGCCTGTGTCCTGCACCCCCGTCCCTGTTTGTTCATTTTTGTCCCCCAAGATCTGTTGATTTCTGGGTTCTGTGGCCTCTGCCGCTCCCAAAGGGTGGGCCGTTCATTTGCTCTGCCCCCAGTGCCAGTCCTCAATCATCTGGCACCATCCATCTACTATAAACTCACACACATTTGTTTTAAAGAAAGAAAAGAAATTCATTGTGTTCCCAGTGCTTTGAAAGTTCAGACAGTCTTTCCCCACTGGGATTCTCTTCAGACCAGTTAGGGCTGGGGCTCACTCCCGCTCAGGACAGCACCAAGGGGTGCTCTACGTTAAAAGCACCATCCTTCAGAGGAGCCCCTTCCTGTCTCTCCCTGTTGGTCAATCCATATATCATTTTGAAGGCCCCAGGGAAGATCTTTGAGTAGGTCCAAAGCCCGGTGTTCCATCCAACCAGTAATGCAATTCACTGATTGACACACAAAAGTGGCCATCCAAAAGTTCTGGTGCTCCATCTTGCAGTAAGATAGCCTGTAACACTCGGAGCTGAGTGTGAGTGCAGAGTGGGTATTGTAATCACCTTGCTGCCAAGACGTGTGGTAAAGTTGGTCCCACACCGTGCAAAATGCCCTGGGTTATCTGAAGTATAAAGGGTACTCTACGGCTACGCACACTGCTCTTTTACAGCATCTCTCACACACACACTTCTCTCTAGGAGCATGCCGATCTAGGGAAATATGGTATGCTTTTGACAAGGGATGGGGAATGGCTGTCAGAGCTGTCCCTTTCCTCATGGAAGGTCATGGGTAGATTAGCATGATCGAGTGTTTAAAGCCTGGAGCTGGGAGTCAGCACTCTTGAGTTCTATTCCTGGCTGCGTCTCTGACTGACTCACTTTTGGAACTTGGACAAATCACTTCACTTCTCTATCTGTGAGATGAAGATAATCAGAGCTGAGTTCTTGGCAGGCCGTTCCACAATGATGTCATTGTAAGGAGGGGAGTACTTGTGGCACTTTAGAGACTAACAAATTTATTAGAGCATAAGCTTTCGTGGGCTACAGCCCACTTACAGACTAACACGGCTGCTACTCTGAAACCTGTCATTGTAAGGAGGGTCCGGTTAAACGGTAGAGTAGGAATTCACACATCTGCCACAAGAGGGCAGGACGACATCCTTATTAGTGAGTGACTGGGCAGCAATGTGTTGTGTATCTAGGGTTACCAACCCTCCAGGATTGTCCTGGAGACTCCAGGAATTAAAGATTAATCTTTAATTAAAGATTATGTCATGTGACGAAACCTCCAGGAATATGTCCAACTAAAATTGGCAACCCTATGCAACAGCCCTGCACACATGGAGTCTTCTAAGAAAAAGAGGACAAGTCAGAGAATACAGATGTACCCAGGCCAGAGTCCAAGAACAACGGAGGTGCTTGTGCTGAGGAGCACTAGACAAGTTCTCAGAAGTTTATATAAACCTCACAGCTTTTATTAACCTCTGTTCCCCCAAAGATCTGACTGGATGTAAAAAGGAAGGATTTTGCTGACACACCTTCAGCTAATGTTAGGGTCTTTCCTAGCCACGGTGACAAGTCGCTGTTGTGTGGACATGTGCGCTTAAGGAAGCAGGTCATGTTTGTACGTCAAAGGGGAGCTAGGTGATTTGTGTCAAGGGGAGAAGGCGTAGTGGGTGGGTGTGTGCTTTTTGGGGGAGCATTGTGTGCGCGTGTTAGAGGGGAGGGGCTAGCGCGTGCATGTGTGTGAGCTGTTGTCTGGGGGGGGGTGTTCGGAAGAGTGGAGTATGTTCCAGGCACGCATGGAGACTCAGCACTTGCAGGCCTTTGTAAGCAGACACACGTTTCTGGGCCAGAGAGTGTTCTTCTTTCCTGGCCTGCGTCCCCAACACCATGCCATCAGCGGTTAGCATCGTGCCTGGGGTGGGGGCAGAGGACAGAATGCCATGGGACGCTCTAAGGACATTTGATCTGGGCTTGTTTTGGAGGCTGGAGATCAGCTACTGCCCTAAACAGTCAGAAAACACTGGAGTCAGGATGGTAAATGTGTCTGTCAGTTGACTTGCCCACGGATAAGAGTTTTGTCTGATCTCTGCCAAGGTCTCGTTTTCTCAAGTAAAGTGAAATGAACGATTGTTGCTGCTGTGAGTCTCCGAAGCGTTTTGCTGCGCTCTGTTCCGGTTGGGGCTGCTGGAGCAGGGCGCTCTCTTGTTCTCAGAGTCTGACGCTCACCTGGCCTTTGGTGTTTAGTCTTGGTCTCACCAGCTTATATTAATAAGCCAAAATTCCACCCTCGCTAACCAGCCGGAGACTGTGCCCCAGATCCTGAACTGCAGCTGAATTTTGCTTAGCACACCTCAGGATGGGGGTGTGTACGTGGCTAGGCGCTGCTTTTATACCCCCTTGATCCTGAAGCTGCCCAGCTTCCAGGCCCATTGTAAATTAGAGCAGCCCAGAGAGCTGTGGTCCCCAAGCGGCTGTTCTGGCAGCCAGGGATCGCTGGGGGAAACGGATGCCCAGCCAAGACCCTTACGCTGGGGACAGGGAGCTGGCTTATGACCTGCAGTGGCAGCCCCATGCCACTTGGGGTTTCAAAAGCAAGTAAAAAAAAAATCTGAATAATACAGAATACTGTTCTGGAAAATGCCTTTGTGCTGTGGAATCTAGATGTGACCCCAGAGCACGGCACAACTCTAGTCCCCTGCTTCTGCTGCCTGGTCTTGAGTACCCACTGTGTGCATATCTATGAATGTGCATTGTTCCCGGTCCCACTTCAAGCCAGTAGAGACTATCAGACAGGGATGAAAGCATCTGCATTTGGGCCATTCAGTGGCATCTGCACTGAGCTGTGGTGTTTGCTTTGCTGTGTATGGGCCCGTGGAAGAGCCGTGTTCTTCAGTACAGTGAGAACCCTGGGCCCATTTCCTGGGTGCGACCAAACTCCACTTGGTGCAACATCCAAGTATGGGCAAAAGCAACGTTAAGCCACCATGGGCCATCCTGGAACCAAGGCAGCCCTTGGCACAGTGTGGAGCAGTGGTGCCAACACAACAAACAGCATCATCCTCTGAGTCTGAACCCCTGGTCTGTGTCTCCCCTAGGTCTGGTGATGATCGGCGTGATCATTGGTGCGAGGAAGGTGGGGATAAATCCAGACAACGTCGCCACGCCCATAGCAGCGAGCCTTGGAGATTTGATAACCCTTTCTCTGCTAGCAGGAATCAGCAGCACCCTCTTTAAATACATAGGTAAGGTACATAGCAGAGGCCTTGCGGCTCAGCTGTCGGGGAAGCCTCCTGATAGGGAGAGCTGTTCAGTTGTGGAAGGGAAGCATCTACATTCCTGGGAATGTTAAAGCTAGACCTGACACAGCATTACAACAGGGAGTGGTCTCGTAGGCCGTGGAGGTAGAGATGGAAAAGGCTTTGTGGGTAAGTCCTATGACTGTCCAGTTTATTGTAAGGGTTTTGGGACCATTCAGTGGATATGTGGTTAGAGCAGAAGACCGGGATTCTGTCACTAACTCATTGCAACACTGGCCAAGTCACTTATGCTCTCTTTGCCTTTGCACCCCCACGTGTAAATGGGAATAATAATGCTCCCCACCTCATAAAACTATTGCGAGACTTATCTGATGTCTCAGATCCTGTGGGAGCACAAAGCATTATCATCATCTTGGAATGGGGGAGAGAATATATTCTCCTAAGAGACCCACTCTAGGCCAGTGCTGTGACTGCTGTGTTAACCATGCCCTGGAGGCAGTGACGTAGCCAGCTTCTAAGGGGCGGGGGAGCAAACATAAAAAAGGCGCCCCCCCCGGCTCCTCCTCTGGCCACGCCCCCTTGGCTCCTCCTCTGTCTGCTCCGCGCCCCCCCCCTTGGCTCCTCCTCCGGCCACCCCGCCCCTCCCCCCCCATGGCTCCTCCTGCCGTGCCGAGCCACCCCCGTGCCCCCCCGCTCCTCCGGCCGCGGCTACCACCCCCCCATGGCTGCGGGCCACGCTGCGGGCCTCCAGCCTCTGTCCCCCTCCCCTGCTCATCTGGCTGCAGCTGCTGGCTGTGCTGCGGGCCGCATGCCGCGCCCCCCCCCCCCCCCCCCCCCCCCCCCCCGCTCCTCTGGCTGCGGCTGTTGGGCCGCGCTGCGGGCCGCATGCCACACCCTCACCCCCGCTCCTCCGGCTGCTTTTGGAAAGGCGGGGGAAGCAGCTGCTTCCCCTGCACCCCACTAGCTATGCTACTGTCTGGGGGTATGTCTACACAGCAGCTAGATACCCGTGGCTGATCCATGCCTGCCAACTCGGGCTCGGGCCGCGTGGCCATTTCACTGCTGTGTAGACGTCTGGGCTCAGACTTGCCCAGGCTCTAGGACCCTGCAAGGTGGGAGGGAATCTAAACAGCAATGAAACAGCCCCACAGCCCGATCTTTGTAAGCCTGAGTCGGCTGGCCCGGGCCAGCCACAGGTTTTTCTTTGCTGTGTAGACATAATCCTAGAGGCGACAAATTGGCTAAAAACCTTGGCACCTGAACTGCTTCTCCTACATGATCCTGGAAAATGCACAGTACGTTTTTGGAGCAGGGGATAAATGTGATTTATGCTTTAATTGATGTTTGAAAATTACTAAGCAAAGTACCATGGGCCTGACCTAGAAAGAGAGAATGTTCAGGGTTGGGTTGTTTTAAAAAATAAAAAGTTTGTAACAACTAAACCCAAAGTTTCACTGAAAACTGAGAGCAGAAATGGTGAGTGAGACAGCTGTTTCCTATTACAATAATTTATTCCACATGCCTACAAATAGGGGAAACAATTGAATCCATATCCCAGAGAGAGAGAGGCTGGGGGAGGTCCAACAGTCATTTTGTTCTAGTTCTCCTATACTTCAGAAATGTATTTATTCAGTGTGCAGTTTCCCAAGATGCCGTGGCATCTGCCTACACAAAACTGGCTTGGCCTTCAGCATCTCCACCTCCAGTAATATCTCTCAGGGACTGCATTATGGTATATGTTATCACCTTATTCCATAGTGTACAAATACAGTAATGAGAGGCCGTGAAATTTAGGGGACTATCATTGCAGACAAGTAGTCCGGCTGGAGAGGATATAAATTCTGGTGGAGTTTTATTCAGCAGTGCTCTGGCAGGGGATTGGTTACATTGCGTCAGTCACTAGTGTGATATCACCCAATTGGTGGGTTTTCATAATTCCCAGTTTTCCAAAGTCTTCTGTATTTCAATGGAGGTGAGAGGAAAGTAGGACAGGACGTGTGACCCTGCCTTGATCACAGAGAAATATATTCCCTTAAGGATACTGATAAATCCTAGAAGGCCCAGAATGTTACATGCCTTTGAAAGTTACATTTTCCCCCTGAGGTATAATGCTCTCGTTCCAGTAGAGTGTTTTATAATCTTTTAAAATCAATGTGTCTCCTTCCAGTTCTAAATACTTCGGGGCTGATTACACCACCCTTCCTCGCACTGAGTAGTATTTCACTCAACAAGTAATAATCAGTGGACTGCTTGCTGAGTAAGATACTACTCCTAGGAAGGGTGACCGAACTGGTTCCAAAGGCCTGACACAAAGATTCTAAAGGGAATCATTACAGTGGGCGTTGGATCATACGTTGTAGATGTGAACATTCTGTATGTGTGGGGTTTAAAAATAAGCTAATCGCCAAATGCCCAAAAGAGCAAGGGGATATTTAGCATCTGACTCGGTTGGATGTCCCATCGTGCGTCTTTGCTTCCTGTCCTGGCTAGCTTGAGGGGATGCTGTGCGCTGTTAAACAGCTGCCATTTGCACCCCAGAAGAGGTTGCATTTCAGTGGTGGGTGAAGTGCACTGTGATAAGTACCTCCCTGTGTAAAAAAGCTTTCATAATGATAAGATATTACTCTACGAAAGTTAATGCTGCTGTCTTACATTTCTAACCTAAGGCCCTGACAATATCTTTAGGAAAATGCACGTATCGAGCTTGCTTTATATATCAGAATACCTGCAAAAAATGTGTTGCAGCAGGCCCAGCTTTGGACTTAATACAGGGAGCAGATGGAGAGCCCTGTAGACAAATTATTAGCATATCAAAAGGCCTGGCACAAGCCCCGTTGCTTGAAGGTGTTTCTGGTGCTGAGTCATGTTTGTTTTCTTGTAGGGCAGCATTTTTTAAGTACCATTCGCTTCTGAAGGTCGTTTCAAGGTTATGCTGCTGCCAAAGGGAAATGTAGCTAATAGAAATGAACGTAAACCAGCAAGTAAAAATCCTGCCCCTCAGCTGTCTGATGTATGGAGCATCAGAAAACAGCAGTTGTCCAACTAGTCTACTGCCCTGGCATCAACAATAGCCAGTGCTAGATGGTTCAGAGGAAGGGGTGAGATGCCTCCTCATATCTATCTATGGCATAACTTGCCCATAGGAAAAGTTTCTTCTTAGCCCCAGCGAGTTAGTGGTTGACTTATCCCTGAAATAAAAGGGTTTATATCCCATATACATTTCTATCCAATCTAATGAAACGGCGTGGACATCCTGATTCATTTAGCTACCTAACTTGATTTGAATCCTCCTAATCTCTTGGCCTCAGTACTGTCCTGTGTCGTTGAGTTTCACAGGTGAATTATGGACTGTGGGGGGAAAACATGAAGACTTCAGTCCCAAGCGCTGCTTCCTTTCTTTCAGTCAGTCAGAATGTAATGGTGGTGTCCTGTCAGATTTTACAATCTTATGGAGTTGGAGACATGTAAATCGCATTTAACTTTGAATTTCTTTTCCATGCCAGATGTGAAATACCTTTCGCCTCTGATCTGCGCTGTGTTTGTTATCATGATTCCTCTTTGGGTTGCTATTGCCAAGCAAAGTCCGTCTATTGCTGAAGTCCTGAAGTCTGGATGGCAGCCGGTAATTGTTGCAATGAGCATCAGCAGGTAAACCTAGGAACCACGCTTCCCACTCTCACCCTGCGAAGATCTTTCTTTCTCTTTCAGGGATAACAGTCAACCTAATCCGAGGTCCAGGACAGTGTCCAAAAAAAAAAAAATTCTGCCTGTCTGAGATTCCAGTGATAATTTATAGTGACATGGTTTTAAATTCTCTGGTCTCAGGACCTGTCATTGTTAGAGACACTTTGATGGACCAATGTCTTCCATAAAACATACACATCTGCTGCATAGTCAAATGCAACCTGTATAACTGTCATGATTATTGGTATTGTGGTAGCACTTAGGAATGCCAGTCGTGGCTCAGAACCCCACTGTGCTAGGTGCTGTACTAACACAGAACAGAAAGGACAGTTAGTCCTTGTCTCAGTCTCTGTATTCTGCACCTGGACAGATGATAGGTAATAAGCTTTCATTTTGTGTCATTTTTAACAGCATTGGTGGGCTGATCTTGGACAAAACTGTAACTGACCCGAACTTCGAAGGCATGGCGGTTTTTACACCCGTGATTAATGGTAGGTTGAGGGGGGGTTATGTTTTTGTCCTTTCACCCCCAGAGGGCTGGGTTCACACGCCAGCTCATGTTACCAAAGAACATGGTGGTCTCGTTTGGGTTTTTCTTTATCCACATCACACATTGCAGCACAATTGGCAGTTTCAGGCTATGTCTGCAGTGCAGTCAGAGGTGTGATTGCAGCTTGTGTAGACATAACCAGACTAGCTGTAATCATGCTAGTGTGGCTAAAAATAGCAGTGAAGATGCAGTGGCGTGGGCTGTACAAGTCCAGAACCCTGGGTATGTACTCGTGCTCCTAGCCTGCGCTGGGGTCTGTGCCAATCACTGCTATTTTGAGCCATACTAGGTAGGTTAAAACTAGTGCGAGTATGCCAAACTGAGCTGCAGTCATACCTCTGATTGCAGTGTAGACATGCCCTCAGATTGGGAGAGGCTCTGGAGTGGAATAGCAGGAGGTACTGCAGGTGTGACTGAGGTGGCAGAGCTGTGGGGAGGAAGCCTACATAACCCCAGCCTACTACATCTGGGGGTTGCTGTAAGTCTGTCTACACCACAATTAGACACCTGCGACTGGCCATGGCAGCTGACTTGGGCTCGTGGGGCTCGACTAAGGGGCTGTTTAATTGCAGTGTAGACATTTGGGCTCAGGTTGGAGTCCAGGCTCTGGGTCCCTGTGAGGTGGGAGGGTCCCAGGGCTTGGGCTGCAGCCTTAGCCCGAACATCTACACTGCAATTAAACAGCCCTTTAGTCGAGCCCCAAGAGCCCAAGTCAGCTGGCACAGGGGCAGCTGTGGGTTTTTAATTGCACTGTGGGCATACCCTGAGCTTCATGAGCATTAAATCACTGCAAAAATATCACAATAAAACCCATTTCCTTCCAATCCCAAATCGACATTCTGAGCTGTGCAATCAGTCCAAGCTTCTGATACACGTTGATGATCAAGATTAGCCCACTGTGGAAACAACCCGGGCTTTTGGATTGATTTATTTCTGATATAATGTTTAATGCAAGTCAGGCTCATTCTAGAGGAAACCAACATTCATTAAGAAATTACAGCGTTGTTCCATCTGCAAAGCATTTTGTCATCTAGCGGCTCTTTAAGCTGCAGTGATTCTAACACCCACAAGATGTCTTGCTAAACCTGTCTGCCTGCAGTGTAAGCCCAGGTTTCGAACTTGGGCTCAAGCCTAACCCCCCTTCAGACTACACACAAATCGCACTGACCCAGGTCCCATGACCTCCCGGGGGTGGCGGGTCCAAGCCTGAGTCAAGCTGGGACCCAGGGTTCAAACCCTGTTGCTTTGCAGTGCAGATGCTGCCCCACTGGACTTGTGCTCTGGGAGTCCACCAAAAGTATTCCACTGTCCCATGGGCCAACTTTCTTTGTCCGTTGGACAGTCAAGTTTGGTGGACAATCAGCTTTTCCCACGCTACACAAAGCGGCCATCTTTTGGGAGGGTGCTAGGAAGTTTGGGGGCTTGCCTACACTTACTGGGGAATCAACGCTGTGGCGATCGATGCAATGGTTGTCGATTTTAGTAGGTCTAGTAAAGACCCGCTAAATCGACCGCAGCTCACTGTCCCATCGACTCCTGTACTCCACCGGAACGAGAAGAGTAACCGTCGACATAGCGTAGTGTGGACCCCCTGGTAAGTAGATCTAAGCTACGTGAACTTGAGTTACGCTACTAACATAACTCAAATTGTGTAGCTTAGATCAACTTTCCCACATAGTGTAGACAAGGCCTGGGATATGGGTGGTTGGACTCGGGGCTGTATAATGCAGTGTAGATGTTGGAGCTCCAGGCTGGGACCCAGGGTTCAGCAATTCCTAACCTGGGGTTACAAATGAGTGTAGACGTTCAAGCCCTAGATTAACAAACCCAGGGTCTGCTAACTCAGGTTCTATTAACCCTGATCTTATTTTGCAGTGTAGACGCACCCTTTATGACAAACCTTTTCCAGTGCTATCAGCCAAAAAGCTATATTAGGAAATCAAATCAAAGTTATTCCATTGATCAGAGTTCATAAAAGCTAACATAGACTGCTAATTCAGAGTGAAAATTTATTGTCCCCAAATCATCTGCAGAATTAAGTGTGCCCCTGTTTTTGTGCACTCCCTATTTGCATGGGCAAAGGTGCCCATGAACAGTTTGAGGGTTCCCTTTCGGGGAGTCAGTTTGCAAATATCACCCTTTCAGTCATATTATTGTTGGATCAAGTCCTGAAGACTTTACTTGGTTTTAATTCTGGCAAATTTCACCTTCACCTTTCACCTTGTGGAACTCCTTGCCTGAGGAGGTTGTGAAGGCTAAGACTATAATAGGGTTTAAAAGAGAACTGGATAAATTCATGGAGGTTAAGTCCATTAATGGCTATTAGCCAGGATGGGTAAGGAATGGTGTCCCTAGCCTCTGTTTGTCAGAGGGTGGAGATGGATGGCAGGAGAGAGATCACTTGATCATTACTTGTTAGGTGCCCCAGAGGGAGTGAACCTGGCATTGGCCACTGTCAGTAGACAGGATACTGGGCTAGATGGACCTTTGGTCTGACCCAGTACGTCCGTTCTTATGTTCTTATGTTCAGAGAGAGAGAGAGAGAGAGAGAGAGAGTGAGTACCTGAGAAAAGAAACAAGTAAAGGCTGCAGGATTTAGCTCATTATTATTTTATCCAGTGCATCCCATTCCCTCCACCACACACGTGTACATATAGACCCATAGGCAATGCAGGATTGCTCCCTAGAATATAGTCAGTGGTCTAATGGAGAATGTAGCTGTTATTTCATGTTTGCCAGAATTAAACAATTGGGAAGGAACTAATTGCCTTTTAATTAACCAACATGGTTAGGGCTGATTCATTCTCATCTGATGCTTTCTCACTTAATAAGTGTGTCAGGTGCCTCCAAATGAACAGGATGATCACTGTCTGTTTCACTTGTGATTTAAACAATAAAGTCTCTCTAGCTGAGTCCCTCTGAGAAGCAGAACTGAGAGCAGCAGCTGCCTTTGCACCATGTGTTCCCCAGAGATCAGTTCATGCCGGCTGGACTTACATCATCGCTGGAGATCATGCAACGTTTGACTTGTCATAGCAAGCAGAAGGTCCAGGGGAGATGTTTTATATAAAACCACCAAAAAGAGACATGCATCTGAACTTTCCTCTTGCTGTGATTTTTGTGTGCTCCTAGCATGTGAATAAAACAGCACCACAATGACACATGGGTTTGGGTTGATCTTTCCTTAACCACCACCCCCACTGCGCATCTGAGCAGATGCAGGTTGGCCAACCTTCTGCTAAGTCCCTAGAGACCAATGCATCGTGTGTGCTTCTTGCTGCCACTAGGAGAGAGGCTTATGGGATTGTTGCATTTTGCACTTGCAGGTGTTGGTGGGAATCTGGTAGCCATCCAAGCCAGCCGCATCTCCACATTCCTGCACTTCTGGAGCACGCCTGGAGTCCTGCCCTACAAGATGAGGCAGAACTGGCCCAATCCATGCACTACGTTCTTCACGTCAGGTAGACAATGAACTCTAGGTGTGCACATTGCAAAACCCATCAGCCCAGTGAGAGCGCTCTTTGTCACCCTGGCTGGCTAAGGACCGAATGGGTTGTGGCGAGTGAGCTCCTCTTCCTTCTGTAGAGTGGAACCTCCAGGGCAGGGCTGAGGTACCTTGGCAAGGGGCAGGTTGAGGGAAGCTTGTTCCTACTGCCCGTGCTGTACTTGCTCCGTGAGTGGACAGGGAACATTGGCCTCCGGAGTATCTGTCACTGGCAACAAATCATTTGAAAAGAAACTTCAAATTCACTCTCCTGGAGAGTCGCCCATTGTAACTGGGGCCGTCCTAGATACCCCAGTGCATGAATTAGTAGCAGACTGTAGCACATAGTGGGGCCGATTCTGATCTCGCTGATGCTGGGAAAATCAGGGCAATGGAGATGCACTGGCACAAGCAAAATCCGAATCTGGTCTATTACTTTTAGAGGACTGGCTCATGTGGCTTTTCCGCTGGAAGTTTGTGCGCTGATGATAGGGCAGAGTCAGAGCTAGGAAAGTGGATCACAGTGATTCATAGCAGGAGCTGAGTGGGGACCGGAGCTGCGTAGGACAGCTGAATGGAACAGCTGTGGGAAGCGAAGCAAGAGGATCAGGAGAGAATCATGGAGCTGAGTATGTACGTAGAACATGGTTTTATTATGAGGTTAATGCCAGAAAAAGCTGCTGGGGGCAGTCCCAGAAGTACTTCATATGGTGATAGGCGTGGGATCCAGAAGGATGGATAAAACAAGTAGATAGTTACTCATAATCCCTAATGTTATATTAAGGAACTGAGTATCATTCAGAAAGGAGTTGTCAACAGTCCATGTCTCTCTCCTACTCCCCTGGCAGTGGTATTTAACATCCACAAATATGTCTGTGGTCATTGAAAGATGTACAGCTTTATGCTGCTTTCCCCCTCAAGCAATAACCGCTCTGGTTCATTTTAATCCATGTGTTCTCTGCAGGGGTGAATTCCAAGTCAGCTCGCGTCCTGTTCCTGCTGGTTATCCCCGGACACCTGGGGTTCCTGTACACCATTCGCCTCCTGCAGGGTGGGCACACAGCCATCACCTTCACTTTTGTGATGTTTTATCTGACTGCTGCTTTGCTGCAGGTAATAAAAAGAGCCCGGCTGAGCTGAGGGTGAATCTATCAGCCAGCAATGAAAATCCCAATCGCTGTCCCTTAGTCCCTGTCACTTCCCACTGCCACCCTCACCCAGTCTCCATAATCCCAGGAATTATTAGTGGCAGGAGCATCCCTGTGCCAGATGTTGGCTACATCGTAGAGGCTCATGTAGTTCTCTTTGTCCCACTGCAGCAGTAATAGAATATATTTAGTGGGCAAATAACTATCTCTAGTTTGTTTGCTCTCCCCTCCCCCGTTATTGCTGGTCATCACAGCCAAAGGGGAGTGAGCAGATTTTGTGCTAGGCTGATTAAATATCCATGATAATTCTGCAAGGCTGATTTCACATGCCAAAGTGGAAATCTGTGGGGTGGGGGAACTGGACTTTGTGGGTCAGAGCTACATTCAGCAAGGAGAAAACCCAGCACCAAGAGGCCTGAGATGGCGAGAGGTCCCACATTCAAAAATAACAGCCACACATAAACCTCAGACCCCCAGTTCGATAGGTTCTGCCTTTGACCCTTTATTCTTTCACTGTTCTGCCTTCCCCACCCCCACACTCCATTGTCTTACTCACAGACACGTCGCTGTCACTTACACTCACTGATGCTCTTGGTTCATTCACCCTTTTAAATGAGCCATTCTACAAGTTCATTACCTTGCAGGGTAAAAGATTTTGTTCCTCTTTTTGCTTCCCTTTACAATCAGGCTTGCAGCTGTGTGTGAATTCTTTGCCCGTGTGAACAGTTGGCTTGGCCTTGCCATCCTCAGCCTGTGTTTATATGACCCACAACCCTGGCACCACAGTTGAAGTTGTTTAATAAATAAAAAAAAAAAAAAGTTCTGCATATGCACCATGGCAAAACCACTCCCACAGTCAGAGCCAAATATGAAAATACATGCAATAAATTACAGCACCCGTAACACAACCTCAGCAACATCAAAGCTGATTTCTAGGGGACCCAGTAGAGAAGAAAACACTAGGCTTGTCCTCTTTTTAGTTGCATTATGATCTATGAAGACTAGGAAATGATGCGGGGGGAGGGAATTTGTGCTTGGTATTTTTTCTGCTTGGTTTATTCCCTTTAGAAATGCACAGTCTTGTGGTCCATGATGTGCTGAGATGTCCCTTGGAGGACTGAGAGATACGGAGTGGGAGAACTCTCTCAATATTTAATTGAATTAAAAAGGCAGTCTTTAATCTTTAACAAAAGCTTTTCCTCCAGCTGGTTATCGGGATCTTGAGTTAAATGTGAATGAAAAACAGAAAAAAATCACACAGATTTTTAAGTAGTCTAGATAAAAAAAATCACTTCTCTTTTCAATGGCTCAGGGTTCACTTGCTTGGTATCTTCGATGTGATAAAAACCTACTAGTTCTCCAGTTGACCAGGGAGACTGCCAAGAAAAATGAGGCAGACAAGACCTGAATTGCTAATGTAAAAGAGAAGCATAAAACCTCTGCCTACAGAAGTTACCTTCTACGGGTTGGCTGATTGTTTTTCCCTACATTTTTTTAGGCCCAATCCTGCTCACAGTTACATCTCCCATTGTCTTAATTGGCGGCAGGAACTCCATCCCTCCATCACAATGACTGTATTCTAGCAATAGGTACCGTATCCCTGCTGCATGCCTGTCACTCACTGACAGCTGGGTCTGTCTTCTCTCTGGGCAGGTGGGAATCCTGCTCTACATGGCTGATCTAATTGTGCGACTGGTGTGGAGGAAGGCCCTGGATCCAGACAACTTCTCCATCCCCTACCTCACTGCCCTGGGCGACCTCCTAGGCACGGGATTCCTGGCACTTTGCTTCCGCTTGGTTTGGCTCGTCAATGGGACTGAGATGAAACTGGGAAACTAACAGGACATCTGCTGCAGCATTGGCCCATTGCTGCTCCACCAAGCAAGTCTTTCAGTATGGTGCTTTAACATGGTCCAACAAGGTCGTTAGAGACTACGTCTCAGACTAAGTCTTTAAACTGAACGGGTCTGCTATCCTTGCCCACCCCTATTGACCACTGCAGTGCCTTACAGCTGTCGAATTCAGATCAAAAGAAGCAGAACCTGTCTGGACTTATCCAGCTTTGAAAGCGACCTAGCCCTCTTAAAACCGTATACTCTGTCCATGTGTGCATCTAGAAAACCAGGGGTTAAGGAACACAGGTCATATCTTGGGAATTCTGCATTTTGATTGGCTTAAAAATGTATGACTGTAACCACGTGGTAAGTAGGAGACTAATGCACACTCCATTGAAGTCAATGGGAGTCTTTCCATTGTCTTCAGTTAGTCTTTGGATCAGATCCTAGATGAGGATGTTGCAATGTCTCTGATCAGCAGTTAGAGCCCAAGTAATATTTTCTTGCCCCCTCCCTCCCCACCACATCCCTGGCGGGGGAGAATCAATAAGGACCTTAAAATTCTCTCTCCATAATTTCTGTATTCAGGGTCTCAAAGAGCATGTTCCCCATTGGATTGCAACTCACTGAAAAATCATCCAGGGCAGGGCCTGCCTAAACAAACATCTCTAACTGACACGGTGGATTATTCTTTGTTTGACAGTTTAAGGACCATCTGTTCAGTAGTTTTTATGGTTTATCGAAACACACAAATAAAATTTAAACCATTTCATAGTTTGGGGCGGGTTATGGCCATTCTTTTGTTGCTGCTAATCACTGTTTATTGGCACTGGACTAAGGAACTGTTAGAGCACTAGCACCTAGTACTGCACAGTATGGACCCTTCACAGCTTGGGCCACATTTCAGCTAGGATACATAATCCAGCCACCCTTTTAAAAAAATACCATATAGCATAGAAATGTAGGACAGGGTGGGACCTTTAGAGGCCCTCTAGTCCAGCCCCCCATGCTGAGGCAGGACTAAGTAAACCTAGACCATCCGTAGCAGGTGTTTGTCCAACCTATTCTAAAAGCGTCCACTAGGTCACACTGTTGGTTGTTGTTGATTTCTATAGAAGTCTTTGGTTGGTCGTGTTCCCCAGCCCTAAGAGAGGAAGTGTGGAACAGTGATGGAGGGCACTAGCTTGGGAGTCTAAAAACCACAGTTCAGTTCCTTACTCTGCTACAGCCCTCCTCCGTGACCTTAGGCAAATTATGTGGGGCCAGATTTTTAAAGAAATGTGGGCACCCAAAGATAAAGGTAGGCAGCCAAGGGGATTTTCAGACGTGCCTACGTGCTTTGTCTGCGAGACATTTAACGGATGCAGCAGCTGGAGAGATTGCAAACTGAGTTTCAGTGGCTTAAAGATTGAATCAAACGCTAAACTTCTGATCTGTCTTTTGAGCACCCTAAAGTTTTAGACTGAGATTTTTCAAAGGAGCTTATGAGAATTAGGCAACCAGCGCCATTGAATATGAACAGATTTGGGTGCCTAACTCAGTTAGGCCCTGTTGCACATCCCAGCCTTAGTGCTGCCTGGATCTTCCTGTGACAGACCATTATAAAGAAAGATATTTGCAAAATGCAGATCCCAGTTTAGCTTGTGAACACCCCTAAAATCCTGGGCTGTTCAGTTCTGTGGTACTGCTTGAGGCCACGTTCTGTCTGAAAACATAGCTCCGGTGACCCCTTTTTCGTTCACAACTGTAAGTGCTGCAGCCCAGGTTGAATGGCACGTTAGCTTCCTGGATGGTTGCATTTCAGCATTCACGTCACATTGCCCTCTAATCACAGCCCTTTATGCGTTATCTAACCATCTGCGTGAAGTCAGCACAATTCAGTTTCAACCACGAGCGGACGTGTGGTAATTGCAGCAGCGTAGACAGGAAGACGGGTTACTTGCATTCAAATTATCCTGAGCAATTACAGATGTGTGGGGAAGGGGGCGCCGTGAAGTCTAGGAGTTTGCAGAGCTGAAGCCTATAACCAATTATTTTTAAGAAGTGATTGTGATGCTGGCTTGAGAGCCCCTACAGAACAAAGTCCTCTCACCACAGAACAGGTACAGCATGGGCAGCAGCCGGGCAAACTTCCCGTGCAGACTGTCTAAGGACTCCCAAGTTGTCTTTGCTAGCTTCTTCCTAGTGTGTTAGCACAGTCCAGCAGGGCAAAAAAGAACCTACAGGTGGGATCCTAATGAGAAGTCTTTCCCTGTTTTAAGAGGAGCACTAAATAGGTGGTTGCTCCCATCATCCGACCCTACAGCAGTTTTCCCTACAGATAGTCACCTGGGGAAATTCAGGCTGGTGCAAAGGGCCAGCACAAGCCTACTGCACCCCTGTTGAGGACTTATTTGGTGCTGGCTTTCTGCACGGGGTTGAATTTTACCCCTAGTGACTGTGGGCCAGTAACTCTCCTGATTTATGATTCCCAGTAAATGACACATGGTCGCTCTTAGAATTTAGAAGAGTGAATTATTGCTTTAATTTTTTTTATTAAACAATATTTCTTAATGACCAGCTTTTTCTGGTTGTAAATATTGACAGTGTCCTTGGGCTGGAACATGTAATCAGTCCCAGCTGTGTCATATTTATGTAAAATGGGCATGATTGTCAAGCAAATGTTATACCTTTTGGCTGGTGTGTTTTTGTGCAGGAGGGTTTGGCAATCCCAGATGTGTCTCGGTGGCTGAGGCCAGTATGCCTGGGACCTAAATGGCACCGGTAGAGGGGCTGCTCGCTAAGGTCTGGCTGTACTGAAACTCTTGCTGTTTAGCCAAGCAGCAAAATAATTCTGTTGCTGTATTGGAAGGAACAGAGTTAGGACTTAAAAGTGGTTCTTTTCTATCCTCCAGAGATATGATATAACATTGGGGTCCTGCTCAACAGTTTGAGAACCGCTAAGTGGGTTGTGACCCCATTTTAACGGAGTCGCCAGGGCCAGCGTTAGACTCAACGGGGCCCAGGGCTGAAGCCGAAGCCCAAGGGCCTCAGCCCAGGGCAGCAGGGCTCTGGTTCTGGCTCTGCTCCTCCACGCCCCCGCCTGGGGTCATTTAGTCATTTTTATTGTCAGAAGGGGCCTGCGGTGCAATGAAGTTTGAGAACCGCTGAAAACAGGAGAAAATGGTTTCTGTACAAGGGGCTTTTTAAAGTGCATATTAAAGGGACATTTATTTGTCCTCTAAACCTGTTTTCTCTCTCTCTCTCTCTCTCTCTATATATATATATCAGACCTTATTTCAAAAGAGCCTCTATAACAAGACTTAAGCTTTAGTGCTAAGGCAGCAGGTAAGTAGACTGATGTGCATGTGACCAAATTTGAAAATGGGGCTCAATGCGGGGAAAATACAAGCAAGTCCCTTTGTGATACAGACCTGATCTCGGTGCTAAATTCTTAACTCATTTCTGGGATTTATCACTGCCAGAGGTCCTGATTCTCTGTATCTTGCTCTTTGTGTTGTCTTTCAGATCTGTGCAAAGTGGATTTTCTACCATTCTGCGGTGGTAGCGTTTTTTGCAACGATATTATAATACAAAGCTTAGTGCGGTGGGGAAACAAGCCCCAAAAACGCAGACCTGCAACTGTTCCAGGCATAAAAATCCTCTTGGCTTAAGTGGAAGTTCTTTGCCTAGAGCACTGGGACTTCAGGGTCCCAGAACTAGGAGTAACTCCATGAAAAGCCATGTGAGCCTGCATTTAGATGAATCTAGTATCCAATTTTAAAAGGCGGAAGGGGGAGAGTCCACTTTTCTCTCAATTTTTAAGCCTTTCTTGTAAGTACAGTGAAAAACACGGATTGCCTCGGGCAGGGATAGAATGAGCTTTTTCCAATAAAGGAATGTGAAAGGCACTTGTATCATAGTAGCAAATGCCCAGTTCACTTTCGAGAGTCGTTTTTGCCATGATACCAGCATGTTGTAAACCGACCAAAACCCAGCACTCAGAGCACCAGTTCAAACCTTCCTTCAGCCATTACTAACAGTAATAATGAGAGTTAACCCGCCACTCAGCCTCAAAACCCCGCCCCTGGAAGCTAAGCATATAGTTGGCTGACTGAAGAGAAGCTCTACATTCAACCCTGAATCACATTTCTCTGCCTGGAGGTAAGGTGATAGCCTTTGAGCCCCGTTTCCAAGCAATTCCAGAGTTGCAGGGACTGGGCCAGGCACGCATGGGCTGAACCCCATGGCACTTGAAAAGTTGCTCCTTGCTCTCCCTGCTGCGACCTTCTTATCAGCTCTGGGGTGCAGGCTCAAGCCCTCTCTACACTACAGTTTTGTCGGCAAGAGGGCATAGGGCTGTTTGCGGGAAAGTTAAAGCAACAATGTGTTAACGTAGATGTTGCCGTTTGTTACGTAGCCATAACTGGCCTACCCCAGTATCCCACAATGCCCACCGTGACCACTCTGCTCACTGTTTTGAATGCTGCTGCCCTGCATTCCAACTACACAGGCACGTGCCTAGGGTTGCCAGGCATTCGGTTTTTGATGGGAACGCCCGGTCGAAAAGGGACCCTGGCAGCTGCATTCGGCATCGCCGATCGGGCCATTAAAAGTCCGCTCGGTGGTGCAGCAGCTATCCGGGCGAAGGCAGGCTCCCTGCCTGCCCTAGCACTGCACGGCCCCCGGAAGCGGTCGCCAGGTTCTTGCAGCCCCTAGGCGCATGGGTAGCCAGAGAGGCGCTGCGCACTGCCGCCACCCTGTGCGCCGGCTCCACAGCTCCCACTGGCCAGGAACCACGACTAATGGGAGCTGCAGGAGGGGCGCCTGCGGGTCTGAGGGCAGCGCACAGAGCCTCCCTGGCCACCCATCCGCCTAGGGGCTGCAGGGACCTGGCGGCCCCCTCCTTCACCCCAAATGCCTCCCTCATCCCGTGCCCCACCCCAGAGCCTGAACCCCTAGCCGGAGTCCTGGCCCAGCACCCAACCCCCTGCCTCAGCCCAGAGCCCTCTCCCGCACCCTGAACCTGTCATTGCTGTTCCCACCCCGAGCCCCTAATCCAGAGCCCATACCTCCCTGCACCCCCTCCTGTGCCCCCAATCCCCTGCCCCAGCTCGGAACCCCTTCCTGCACCCAAATTCTCTCCCAGAGCCTGCACCCCCCAATCTCCTGACCCAGCCCTGAGCCCCCTTCTGCACTCCAAATGCCTCGGCCCCAGCCTGGAGCTTCTTCCTGCACCCCCAACCACTCAGCCCCATGCCCCCCCCCAGAGCCTGCATCCCTGCTGGAGCCCTCACCCCCTCCTGCACCCCAATCCACTGCCCCAGCTCAGAGCCCCCTCCCACACTCCGAACCCCTCGGCCCCACCCCCCCATATGCCTCATCCTCACCCCCCCACACACACACCTGGACACTCACCCCCTGCCCTAGCCCGCTGAACATGAGGATGTGAGTGAGGGTGGGGGAGAGTGCGGAATGGAGGAAGGGGGGAATGGAGTGAGCAGGGGAGTGAGGCCCCGAAGAAGGGGCGGGGTGGGTCAAAGGTGTTTACCCCCCCCACACTGTGGCCTCCCCAGCCCCAAGATTGGAGCCGCCCTGTCCCTGTGCCTTGCCAGGGCCGAGCCAGGGAGTGAGAGCTCCTCCAGGCCCAGGGCCCAGCAAGGGTCCGTGTGCTAGGGCTTCCCTGCCACTCCCTGCACTTCTGTGGGGACCGGGGATGGGGTGCTGGGGCATCTCTCGCCCACCCAGCGCATCTGTCGGGGATGAAGTCGGGGCCCTGGGGGCTTCTCCTGCTGCCCC